TTTCGTCTCTCCTCCAAGAGACTTCTTCAGTCTGAGAGTTTCAGGCAAAATTCAGGCTTTTAAGCCCTGCCTCCATGTGACTGACACTCACATCACATTTGTGAATCTAACTTTCTTAGAAGTAAAAGAGACATGAAGAGAGGCTGAGGTGGATATAAATAACATAAGTGAGGAGTTTGCAGAAAGATGGAGGGAAAGAACAAACACACACACACACACACACACACACACACACACACACACACACACACACACACACACACACACTGTTTGAACCCTCACCTGAGTGTGGAATGAGTGGGTGCTCGGACTTGTGGCAGGGCGACTCAGGCAGAAGCACTGGCCCTCTCCTGCTGGCCACGCCTCCGGGGCGCAGGACCAGCAGGCACTGCAGCAGCAGCAGTGCATGCTGGGTAACGGTGCGTCCCATGGGGGCCTGGGCTGGGCTTACTTCTCCTTAGGCCTCAGAGGCCAAAAGTAAGAGGACACACCTGGAAAGACAGAACGAGACAATGATAATAGGGTTAAAACAAACGTTTGAGTGGTTTTTTTTTTGTCCTGAACAAATCAACAGTGGGAAGCAACATCACTTCCTCTTTTAAACAGCCACACCAACACTTAGGGAGTAATGAGCTTTGTAAAACTGCTGTTGATAATTTGAAAATGATCATCACCCTGCAAAGTTATAAYAAAAAATAGTTAGCATTTTGGTTTGCTTTTTTTAAACAAAGGGAGGCAATACAGTCCACAAATTGCATACTGTAACTTACACTCATAATTGACAGCCAAAGAAAAAAAAAAGGGGGCGGGGGGGGGCAACTTTCTAAAGGAAAAGCATKATAAGTGTGAAGAAAAAACTCTAGGATTCAGTTTATAACACATCAGGCCACTGGGGGCGTCATTTGCCCAATCTGATGAACTTAAATCCGACGATTTCTTTGCCTGACAGGCCATAATTTTGAGGCTTATTAAAGCTTTMAAACAATGCTGTGGTCCTATTTGTAGCAGTTTTCTTGGCAAACATCAGGGTTTTCATTCACCACAAGTCAAACTGGAGGGGTGGGTTCCCCCAAAAGGAGGTGTGAACATTGCAGAAAGGCTCCGCTCTACAGCTCATCTATCTCTTGCGTTCACAAAGGATTTACCTCAAGAGACAAAATGCAGCATAAGTAAATCTTAAGTAAGGAAGGGAAGTATGAAGAGGAGGGAGTGTGAAATGAGAAGCTGTGCAGAGTTTTTGCTGAGCAGCAGCAGTGTGTGCGCTTCTTACTGGCACCGAGAGACTTTTCACCTCTGACACAAGGTGCATAAATCCAACGTGGTCTGTTTTACCTCATCCACCTGAAGTGTGTGTGTGTGTGTGTGTGTGGCTGTCGTCTGTCCCATTACATTTAAAATGTGTGCTATTTCTTCAAGACTTTAATTCCAGTGAAGCTGAGTTTTGTTGTAGGTAACAGTGGGGTACAGGACCAGTGTTTTTCTGGTATTATCTGTAGTGTTAGTCAAATATCTCATGGATCACTGCACAGATTTTAAAAGTAATCATTTAGATGTACACCTAAAACTGGTGTGCAACRATGTTTTTTTCTTTGCAAATCTATCAAGATAACCACCACTTMTAAGCAAATTTAAAGGGGCTTTATCATGTAAAATCAACTTTTTTGAGTTTTATATCATGTTATGACGTTATACTCTCATCAAAAACATGACCAGCATCTTGCTTTGACTCATTCAKGCATGTTAGAGAAATCCTGTAGTGTCCTGAGGCAGCYAGGCAGGGGAGCAAAATGACTGGTTGGGACTAGAACCACCTTTTAGGATCAGCTCCTCCTCTGGGCTGTCTCCAAGTCAAGTTTCCTCATTACAGAGAGTGTTCACATTGTCTATGTGTTAAGATTTGTAACTTATTACGATGTATGTGTGAGTGACTGAAATAATCTTACAAGCTGAAACATCACCTCTTTAATCGCTTCGATTCTTTGGAAAACTTACTTCCTGGTCTGACAGTAGGAGTCATATGATCATGAGATGCAATTTTCCAAAACTAAAATTGTATAATGTTGCTGTTTTTTAAGTTATCATTGCAACAAAGCATGCTACAATGCTCCAGCTTTTAAACAGCAGAGAGAAGCGACTATGATGATGTGCTGAAATGGACGTGACAGGATCTGAATGAAATTCTTAAAGAGACAGAGGCCAATTTCAAGGCGTTTAGACACAGTTATGATGAGAAGTTAAGTTTGTTTTTGATTTAAACATAAAAACAGCATTTTAATAACAACTAAAGGTGACATAGTTACTTTATCATGATATATAATTTCGGTATATGCCTGGGAAACACAATATTGCCCCTTTAAAGCTAAAGTTTGATGTGGTAGTAGTTGAGAGCTATCTTCAGCACAGACTCTGAGCATGACCTCTTACGACTCTGTATGAGATTGTGCAGAATGTTACATTCAAGATTTGACCAAAATGGCTACAACCTCATCAATTAAGAACATGATCTGTAAAAGTTGCACAGACCGTGGTGGGTGATAAGTATTCCTTCAAGGAATGCTAGCCCTTTTTCTTAAGTGTTCATACACAGTCTTTATATGACTGACATGGAGCTTCCTGGTTCTCCTCACAAGTCAATGAAATTCTTTGGCTGCTGTAAATCTGTTGTTTTTTTCATTCCAGCTAAATGTCAACATTATGTAATACATAGGGAAGATTCATGCAGCCTCAATAAATAAATAAATAAATAAATAAAAAAATCCATTGCTGCAAGAAAAGCAAGCGTTTGCACAGCTGTTCCTGGTTTCTTTCATTGTGAGAGAAAAAGGATGAGCTGTCTGCACCACCTACATCATTAATTTTTAATCATTAATACAATGCTGTTACGAAGAATGATTCATGCTGTAAGCAACAGAAGCAGGAGCTTTTTTTTTTACACCACATCATGAGCAGCATGTGTAACAGCCTGAGGATATTATTGGAAAATCATTTGTCTCATTTTCAAAACGTAGCTTGAATTGCAGAAAATGCTTCATTTTTTTTCACCATGCACCGGAGCTTTTTATTTGTTGTGTAGTCCAAAACAAGAAGAAAAATAGAACAATGCTCACTTCATGATAGAGTTGATTTAGTGTGAATAGTAGGTTGCAAATAAGCAAAAAACTATTCATATTGTGTTTGTTCTGTGAAGGCAGCAGAATAATAGAAACTCAGCTCCACTGAAAAAAAAACAATAAAGCAAAATAAATCCTGAGGTGGTGGAAAGATTTGTTCTCCACAGGCAAACCTTGTCTCTGTTTCTTTTCCTGAAATATGGATCCACCTTGGAGCTCTGAGTGGCTCTGAGGTGGAACATGAAGTAATTCTCCAGTTTTGCTTTCCTTCATGATGGTGTGAGAGTTTATATTTCAATTTCTTTCTTGAATGTAAAATTTAATCTGTTTTTAGTGATTATGCTACTTGAGCCAGAAGCCTGTATGGAATTCACTCTACAGTGCAGTAAGTTGAGATTTAATGTAAACTTCGTCTCACCTCCGAGCACAGAAAGCAAATGACAGCCAGCAGCTCGCTCAAGTTTATTTCCCCTTTTCCACTTGGTGGCTTCCATATCACCTTTTTTTACTCTTTATAAACCGCTGCCAAAAGGTAAAGCTGGGTGATAATGTTTTTGCCTGTGTCTGTTGACAAAATATCAAATGAACTGCTGGACAAATTCAAATGAAAAACTTAAAAAAATAGTCCTTAAAGAGACATCTATAACAGATCATCTTTTGCTCTACCACAGTTCAAGAGGGCTGCCACAGTCACAGGGTGTATTCACACCAGGAAAGTCCTATTTTTGCCTTTGCTGTGGTTTGCATTCACATTGTGCTTTTTGCAAGAGGACTATAATTTACAAACAAAGCCACGCAGGTGATGGTCAGTCCTCCCATTGGACAGAAATGACAGGGGTAAAACAGAGCACAGACCAGGAAATAAAGATGGTGTTAATACAACTGACTATGAACATCAAGAGCAGCTCATTCAGTGGCTGTTTTGCAGTGATATATTTATAATTATGGGGCAGTGTTTTCAAATGCTTGCCGCAACCTAAGGAGACGAGATGCTCTGTGCTCAGTGTTAGCGTTAGCAACTCCGAAGGGCTAATGTTGCTTAGCAACGGTGGCTCGTGATGTCCAAAAAGACGCTTGTTTCCTGTTTGGTTCGAGGATGGTCTGTATTCACAACAGAAGTGAACTGCACCAGAGTTTGTCTAGATGCGGACCGAGACCACCTCAAAAACGAGTCTGTCTGGTCCGGGTCTTTCCACCTGCATAAAAGGTCCAGACAAACTGGGGAAACAAACTGGTCCATTTAAAGTGGACCAAATGTGTCAGGTGTGAATTCACCCTTTTTTTCTCCTGTTTTTATTTTTTCCTCATCTTCCCTTGTGTGGTTTTTAGTTTTTCTGTTGTTRAAAGGTAGCACAACTGTGTTTGCTGCATGACTGGTTTCACCTGTTCCCCCATGTTTGCCTTGTAGGTCTTCTTGAATGGGTGTTTCTTAACTGCCCCCACCCCCTTCCCTGAATGTACAGCACCTTGTGAATTTATTTCTGTGAAAGGCGCCATATAAATAAAACTTTACTTACTTTACTTCACACCCTAAAAAACCCCCAAATAATTCAATTTTACAACTACTGTGATTGATTGTGTGTGCTATTGTGAAACTCCTTGGTAAAACTTCAGCATTAAGTGTTGGAGTTGATCCTGTTTGTTTTTCCAACCACTTGACGGAATATACAAAATTTACAGAAAGCGACCGCTACAGCTAATCAAAATTAGCCAAGAGAGAAATGTTTATAAATCAATTAATATTTAAATTATTGAGCTAAAGCTTGATTTTGTAGTAGTTGAGCCTCAGTACCAACACATATTGTGATTTTGCATATGATTGTGCACAACTTCAATCTTAAGTGTTATTGTTTACTTTATTAATCTAAAGGATTATTAAACATGTACCAAAAAATGTAATGCACAATTACAACACCAATGCAAAACTCTTGTTGAGGAACTAAAAACCTTTCAAGTCCAATACTGTCCGCTTTCTAAGGCACTGGAAAAAAAAACAGGCAATACAAGAAACGTGGGGTCATTTTTAAAGTTTGACCAAAACAGCTAAATCTCAGCTCTGTTCCTTCATGGGATGATCTTTGTCTAAAACTCTGGCATGAAAGGCTGCATTCTGCATGGAATGTGAGGCCTTCACGTATGTTTTGCTTTCATTCATTTAAAAAAAAGAATTTGTGTGCTAGCTGCATCGACTGTCTCCAACAATGCTTTTTCTCACCAAAAACCCATTTCACTTGTTAGTTTGCTGACTGGAACTTTCTGCTCACCATTTGTCAGACACTCCTATAATCTTTCACGTCTGCATTCACTTAAAGAAAATATTTCATAATCTCCCCGGGCGCAGAGGTGAGGCTGACTGAGGAAATCAGATTAAGGTTGTTTTT